AATATAATGAATGTAGATATTGTGCAGATATTATATACAGTTGCAGTATATAACAAAATAAACCTTTGGTTTGGTTTTACTTCATATAATTAGGGGTGGTAACTCTGAACGTTTTAACAACCCATCTGAATCGGAGAATGACAGCAGCAACTTTCCGAAAGAGGTTTGTTCTCACCATGTATTTTAAAACGTATACAAAATATAGCATGTCTAGTTTATTATAAACACACACTACCTGGGTCAGTTGTTTTTTTTTAATATAAATTGATCATTTTATTCAGGAATTTGATCAAAATAAATTGATCAAAAGTGACAGTAAAGACATTTTATAATGTTACAAAAAAATCAATTAAAAAAAATCTATAATTTTGAAATTCCTATTCATCAAAGAATGCTAAAAAAGAATCAGTTTCCACAACAATATTTAGCAGCGCAACTGTCAACACTAATAATAAGAAAACACTAATAATAATTTTAAAAAAGGTTCACGTCAATTAGAGGTTTGTTTGCCATGTTAATACCTTTTGCCCTTTGGTCAATATCAGGAATCCAGCACATCAGTAGAAGTGGAGGGAAAAGGAAGGAGTTTTGAGAACCCAGCATACAGTGAGGATGCGCAGGGATCTCCTGCTGCACCTACTGCTGTAGCCACTACAGTCATGAATGGGCCTGCCAAAGTATGACCTCTACTGGCAGAAAGGGTTTACTGCATGTTGTCTGTATTTATGTCAAATATTTTTACATGTTTAGTGCTTGACTGGATATTTTTGGTGAACTATTCCTTTTTCACCCAGACTTTTGGATGAACTGCCTCTTAAATATTGACTGAAATTGAGAACAGAATCATTTAAAAGCTTTTTTGGCTCATTGTTTTTTTTCTCTCTCTCTTACTTTCTCTTACTTTCAGGAGAGTGTTGAAAACCCAATGTATGCTGCTGAGTTGACCTTTGTGACCCAGCCAATTGATGGTGCAACCCCTGTCAAAGCAGATGCCACACCAGTCAACACTGAACCTGACAAGGTTAGCCAAAGTGACAGTAACCACATGATGCATGCTTTATTGTCTTGGAAATGATCTTGCTTTGTTTGGTTGTGTGATTGGGTCAGACTTTGAGAATCCAGCAACCATTCAGATAAAGAAGGACGACAAGCAATTATTAACCATTAGCTCCTTCATTCATTTAGATTTAGTATACCACCCCAGCCAATGCGCTCACAAGGCAGCAAATACATAAGGGATGTAGCTGTACACAAAAATTATGGTTTGATATATACCTCTGTTTTGAATTTGAGGTTTATGTTTTTGGTACAGCAGGGGAAAACTAAATATAAAATTGCCTTTTTTTGTATTAAATGGTGGCATACTGAAAAAACTACACTATACCCACTGTAACACACTCTTCTTAGTAAACTGCAGTATATGCTGCTGTTTTAATGGGGGAAGAGATTTTAAAAACTTCCACTTTTGGATGCAATATAATATATATATATATATATATAGAGAGAGAGAGAGAGAGAGAGTCCAGGTAAGAAAATTTTTGAAGATCCAACCGATTTAGAGTTTTATTTACATCTAAATAATGATCAACACGCATACATAGAGCACATCATATACTGTATGGTAAACAAGGAAGCTCAAACATTGAAATGTGATGCACAAGGTTTGTTCATGCAATGTACAACACTGCATTCATTCGGTAAGTGTGTGCCAAACCGAAAGACCAGTACCAAAAATGGTTTGCTACAAATATGTGTCCAGCTACACCTCTAAAATAAATAGTGTTAAACTTTTAGGTAAGATTTGGTTTCAAGCCTGTAAATGGGGCAAAGTCCTGTGGTTTGGGGTTTAAAACAACAAATCCTAACAGAATGTTTAAGCAATATCAACATAGTGCTGCCATGCAAGCACTGTAGCAAAAAAGAAGAAGCCCTAAACACACCCACACACAAGGAGTTATTCTGAAGGTGTGACAGAAAGAAAGATATAGAGCACGTGGGAGAGGACACAGAGGAGTTAGAGAGACATCAATAAGAAACAACACAAACCCACAGGTGACCTTCATACCTCACAGCATGTTATAGAAATAGATCTGTGTTTTAGTTGAACCTGTTATGCCACTCAGTTCTGAGCGTGTCAGTCATTAGGTTGTGTCTTAATTTCTTGTTCCTTTTTTACACAGGCTGATACTTCACAGCTACAGAACGAGGTGGATATGCATGATATGTTCGACAATCCCTTATATATGGTGAGAAAAAGAGATAAAGATTGAATGCGTTCAGTGAGTGACTGTGTATGTGTTTGGGTAAATACCATGAATTGGTTTCATTTTGATGTACAAGGGAAGGATGTTTCCTAATAGTAATATAGTTTTGGCTCACCGATGTAAGCACACAGCCAGCCCTGTTGACATCCCCTCTCTCCTTATTCTGCTGAAAGCAGAAAGATTAATTCTGTAATACAATGAAAGCTATAACAGTGTGCCGTGAAGGAGGGGCTCATTTAACAGCTCGTGAAGGCATGTCAAGGCCTCTGGGGAAAGAAAATTTCCCTCTCTGGTGAAGAAGGCAAAAGACCTTGAAGTGAAGTAAAAGAAGTGAAAGACCTTGAAAGTCTCCTTAAAAGTGATTGAGAGAGGCATCTATTATGTAGACATAAATAAAACTGATCTTTGCTGAAAAGAGCACGAGACAAAAGGGACATATCTGATAATCTGAAATTATTTAAATTATAATTTACAAGTATACACTAAGGGTGAATATTTGGATTTTTTTGTGTTTTTGATAAAAGTCTCTTATGCTCACCAAGGCTGTAGTTAAAACAGATACACTGTTTTCCACACTGGTAATACCAATTGGTAAAACTAATAATAATTGATAATAACTGAGCAATTAATGGCACTGAAGATTGAATTAATGGTTGCTGAAAATTCAGCTTTGCCTTCACGGGAATAAATTACATTTTAAAATATATTCAAATAAAAAGACAGTTATTTTAAATTTTGATATTATTTCACAATATTTTACTGCATTTTTGATCAAATAAATGCAGCCTTGATGAGCATAAGAGACTTCATTAAATATATATATAATATATATATATATAATATATATACTTATATTGTATTATCGGAGTATTATATTAAAATATGTGCATATAGAATTTTAATATAGTATGCTACATTTTGTATATGGTATAAATAGCAAATCTATAATTTATGAATTCCTTAATTACTACAAACATAAATGTCTTTATTACTGTCATTTGCAATGGTTATGTTCTCTGAATATGATACTTTTGGATTCTATTTTTTAACAGCTATCAAAGCATTCTCATAATATTCTGTGCTATTTAAAAGTCAATATACTGCACTGTTTAGCAAGTGAGGCATGAACTGTAACTGAGTATCTCAAAATACTTAATTTGAAATAGAGTAATGAAAGGTCAGACCCTCAGATGCTTAAAATATGGCTGTGACACAGATCTAGCTTGACTTGCTCCTTCGAGACCTGCGAGGAGATTGATTTTTGCAAATGCAGATTCATTTTTGCTTAGTTCCTGCTCACTTATCATTCCCTCCATACCCGAGACATGATTTCCCCACATCAGCAGAAACGAAAGGCACCTAATGGCAACAAACGGCTTGGTAGATAGATGATATAGTGATTCAAGTAAAATTTAAATATTCCTCTGCTACCTCTGTGCTACCTCTTCTAAATTTGAGGTGAAGTGTCCAAAATTGTCTAAAACTGAGGCGAGAGACCTGATACACATTTCTTGTGTCTTGGCAGGATGCACCACAAACACACAGCCAGGGAGAATCTACAATCTGAAGACAATTTGAGAGCATCTTACAGGATCGGCTCTCAATCACTTCAGCAGCTAAGGTGTATGGCTGGTAAATTATGGCTGCAGAATACCATCCATCTACTCGGATGTGATTTAGGTTTCTATTTACTGGGAGTTACAACAAAGTTTTGGACAACACACATGCCATAAAATGTGAATAGTTTTGTTGATTGTTCTTTTTATTATATTTTTATAGATAAAGATTTGCACTTCTTGCACTTTGAGATTCTTCAGACGACTGTAAATTGTTGCAATGATTCAATTTAATTGGCATATTCACTCTTTGAATGTTTTAGTGTATGCTTTTAGTATGTGTATGATTAACCACAATGCTGCTCGATCTCGTTTGATATCATAATAATAATGTATAATAATGTCTTGCAAAATGTTTTTGGGTGAGTTCTGTGAGGATTTTTAAATTTCATCAAAATGTAATCCTGAAAATATAAACTGTGCCTTACACAATCATTTAAAAGTTGGCAAGATGTATATGAAATAGGTATATCAGGCTGCATTAAAAATACAGCAAACAATAGTATGTAATTTAAAAATGTCATTTGGCAAAGCATTACTTCAGTTTAAAGTGTCACACGATCCTTCAGAAATCATTCTAATATGCTGATTTGGTGCTCAAGAAACTTCTCATTATTATCAATGTTGAAAACAGTTGTGCTGCTCACATTTTTTGTAACAGCTTAAAGGTCACTTTTGATCAACTTAATTAAATTGCTGATATAGTATGTGATCTAATAAAATACAACACAAAATGTAAGGTATGGGGGAAGACAATTATGACCCAGATTCCCATGAGTATAATAACACAACCTTCAATCTCAAATGATCCTCTTGACTCGCTTGTCAGAAAGAACATGCCAGTGTCCATTTCTGTTGCTATCCTAGTCTTCTACCCATGTGTAATGCAAACACATTTTATTATGAAAAGTTACAAACACCAGGTTTTTGATGGAAGCAAAAGACTCGCATAAGTACAAGGACTGTTCAGATTCAGCGGCGCTGCCGATCAGCTCTTGCTGTATCACAGCGAGCATCATTAGAGGAGAGAGAGACGAAGAGGACCAGTGGGGGGATGGTGATAGAGCGATAGATTGAAGAAGGGCGGGCTGAAGATTGTATGTGAGCGAGAACGAGGGAGGGGGGGAGGTAAGAAAGAACCGAGATACACTGAGCCAGTGTAGCAGGAATCGCCAGAGATGCCGAGGGTCTTTCCATGAAAGCGGAAACGCTCTCACGCACGCACGCACGTGCGGTGAAAGGTAAGACATACGGGGGCGTTCTTCCTTTTGCATGCTGGGTGTATAATCCGCTCTACAGACAGAGTGAACAGCAGGGGGGAGGATTCAGCACTTAAAAAGATCTCATTCTCAGCATCCAGTGATGCATTTTTCACTGGCCACATTCCCTGACGGACAGTTTCGGGGAGACTCTGGGAAGAACGTCCGTTGGAATGAGGTAGAGGGATGCTGGGTGTACCTTAATATCTCTCAGATTCCCTTTATTTTGTAACAGTAAATGCATTCAAACAGCATTACTGAATTAGGTGAACTGAAAAATAATGATTTAAATGTTGTATTTTGTGTGTTTCCTGTTTTGTTCCTCCCAAACTTCTGCTTTGAGACTGTTTTGAGCCGTTTTGAATGTATTCCCTTGCATCTCTTTTGTGTTTTGTCATGACTGTGTGCGTGTGTGTGTGTGTGTGTCAGGTTTACCTACATTATGGGTTTTAAGGAAAATACTCAATAAACATACTAAATAATGTCTTAGTGACAATATAAAAATGCAAAATGGTTCATATAAGATGTTGGGGATAGATAATATAATGTGCTCTTTATAAAACCAGTAGAAGTCAATGAACAGTCTACAGCAGGGGTTTTCAAAACGGCGCAAAGCCAGGGGGTCCGCAAAATAATTTGCTATCGGCCTACCGTATTTTCCGGACTGCAACTTGCGTTTTTTATCTTCTGAAACGTGCTATGATTTATATTCCAAAGTAACTTACATAATGCATTAATGTCAAATAAGCAAAGCGTATTTGACATTAAATGCGTATCCACTTAAATGCGTGCACTTCAAGGTTTATATAGCTAAATATATTTCTCATGTCTGTTTGACAAGTAGACAGTATTGCAGAGTTTTTCTTCATTTTAGGAAGTGGTTCACAATCTCATAGACCAAGACGGCAAGCGCATTTTGTTTGTTTTCTTTATTTTACAAAAGCACAACGTTTCACTGTCATTTTGAAGGTACACAAATAAAAATAGACCGTTTTGAATGATGTCTTGCTCTTATCTGACGGATATCACATTTTTCCGCTGATGTAAGGAATCCAAAGGGTTTGCGCTATAAATACAAGAATGAAGTTGCAATCTATTTCTTATTGGTTAAAATGAACGAAGACTATCTTGTGTTTTTCACAAGCACCCACGTGATCGGCGCCTATGGCATTTAAAATTATCATCATTATAATTCATTTTTTATATACATATATATATATATATATATATATAGTATACATGTATACAACCTGGTGCAACTTTCCGGAAAATATGGTACATTTAATTATATTATGCTGTAGTATTAAAACGTACATGTACAATAGGAACCATTTGCACCAACAAAAAATTTATATTATGTTCATTCCTCCTACCCTTATTCAACTTTAGCCTTAAAGACTGTTATAATTATGAGGGGGTCCTTGGAAAATCCTCTCCCCTGTAAGGGGTCCCTGGCTCCGAAAAGTTTGAAAATCCCTATTCTACAACATGTGTGTGTGCACAGGCATGCAAGATCATGCAACCTGTCAATTAATGAACCTGCTTGTAACACGTTTTTCAGGTGCATATGCAATATTGTGACGTGTTTTGATTTGATGGACAGGCTGTTTTCTGATAATCTACTGAATCTGAATGAATTAGGCTCTATCCCATGAGCCTCAATGACTCCTGCTGATGTCATTTACGATAATCTTCTCCAAAGAGATTTAATTTGATGTGTTTGCTTGTGTCTACAAGCATTTATGTATATAATTCACACACACCAAAAGAGAGCTAGAGCTGTCAGCACTAATGATGGCCTTTAGCAGTGTGTGATAGTGAAAGGGACTGATGGTGGCAGAAGGGTGGCTGAATGACCTTGTCCCCCAGCAGGGCACATTTTCAGCTTTACGTGAATCATTCTGTAAGGGCGAGAACTGGGCAAAAGAACTCCTATTCCTCTGGAGAAATAGAGGATGATAAAAGGTCAGGCCCAAGGTCTTCAGACTGCAAATCAAAAGTAACCATTTGCAATCTGGCATTCGTACTATTCAGGTTTTGTGTTTGTTTTGTGGCATTTTCTATATGACATTTTCACCAATGGTATTTTCAAATGGTTGGGCAGCTGAGCTGCAAAGTACTAGCAAGATGACCCTGATCTGAGCATATGTCTGGTGAGAATCTTCTCAATGCAGCTGCAGCATATGAGGAAGGATGGAGAGAGACACAGAGCAGCATAATCTTTCCATCACGCACGTCATAATCAGAGGGAAAGGGAAAGATAAATAGAGAGATACTTTTGGGCCTTTGAGAGAATCAGCATGGATTAGAGGGCTTTTAGAAAACCAAAAGAGCACAACGTTTCACTGTCATTTTGAAGGTACACAAATAAAAATAGACCGTTTTGAATGATGTCTTGCTCTTATCTGACGGATATCACATTTTTCCGCTGATGTAAGGAATCCAAAGGGTTTGCGCTATAAATACAAGAATGAAGTTGCAATCTATTTCTTATTGGTTAAAATGAACGAAGACTATCTTGTGTTTTTCACAAGCACCCACGTGATCGGCGCCTATGGCATTTAAAATTATCATCATTATAATTCATTTTTTATATACATATATATATATATATATATATATAGTATACATGTATACAACCTGGTGCAACTTTCCGGAAAATATGGTACATTTAATTATATTATGCTGTAGTATTAAAACGTACATGTACAATAGGAACCATTTGCACCAACAAAAAATTTATATTATGTTCATTCCTCCTACCCTTATTCAACTTTAGCCTTAAAGACTGTTATAATTATGAGGGGGTCCTTGGAAAATCCTCTCCCCTGTAAGGGGTCCCTGGCTCCGAAAAGTTTGAAAATCCCTATTCTACAACATGTGTGTGTGCACAGGCATGCAAGATCATGCAACCTGTCAATTAATGAACCTGCTTGTAACACGTTTTTCAGGTGCATATGCAATATTGTGACGTGTTTTGATTTGATGGACAGGCTGTTTTCTGATAATCTACTGAATCTGAATGAATTAGGCTCTATCCCATGAGCCTCAATGACTCCTGCTGATGTCATTTACGATAATCTTCTCCAAAGAGATTTAATTTGATGTGTTTGCTTGTGTCTACAAGCATTTATGTATATAATTCACACACACCAAAAGAGAGCTAGAGCTGTCAGCACTAATGATGGCCTTTAGCAGTGTGTGATAGTGAAAGGGACTGATGGTGGCAGAAGGGTGGCTGAATGACCTTGTCCCCCAGCAGGGCACATTTTCAGCTTTACGTGAATCATTCTGTAAGGGCGAGAACTGGGCAAAAGAACTCCTATTCCTCTGGAGAAATAGAGGATGATAAAAGGTCAGGCCCAAGGTCTTCAGACTGCAAATCAAAAGTAACCATTTGCAATCTGGCATTCGTACTATTCAGGTTTTGTGTTTGTTTTGTGGCATTTTCTATATGACATTTTCACCAATGGTATTTTCAAATGGTTGGGCAGCTGAGCTGCAAAGTACTAGCAAGATGACCCTGATCTGAGCATATGTCTGGTGAGAATCTTCTCAATGCAGCTGCAGCATATGAGGAAGGATGGAGAGAGACACAGAGCAGCATAATCTTTCCATCACGCACGTCATAATCAGAGGGAAAGGGAAAGATAAATAGAGAGATACTTTTGGGCCTTTGAGAGAATCAGCATGGATTAGAGGGCTTTTAGAAAACCAAAAGTCTGTAGTAAGGTTACAGCTTGTCTGGTACAAGCCGTACCAAAATTTCAGATCATAACACCCCTCAATATTTCATCACTTTTACTGGGGTTTTAAGCTCCTTGTGTTAAATATACAAATTCAAAATATCTATCGGTGTCACAGATTAAATCTTTCATCAGCACAAGGATGTGATTTCTAAAACCATACATAGGCCTCTGTTTGTATGATAGGGGGCTTGAGATATTTTGTTTTATTTATTTATTTTCTTTTATTCATTTTATTCAGCATTTTTTGCTGAAATCTATAATCACAAATATAGTCAATCAAACAACATTTTTCTGCAATGTTTTCAGTTGTGTCCTGTGTTTACCAATGTACAATTTATTCATTATGAAATACAGAAGTCAAAATTAAGGTTCTTAAGTGGTTCTTTCCTTAGGTTTAGAAAATAAGCTCTTATATGTCATTTTTATAGAAAAGGAATGAGAAAATGTTACAGAAAAAACAACAACAGTTAAATGGTTAAAGGTACGATACCTGACCATATAAAGAAAAAAATGTAATGGTTTAACTGCATTAATTTGTAATTTTACTGTAAAATGTAATGACTATAAATTGCCATATCATTTATGGTTAAAAAAATGTACAAGGAAATTCCCAGATATATTTAGTTAAAATATTTTTGTTTCTTTTCATTTTTGTAGTTTATAATGTACTGTACCTTGGTGTTTTTTTTTTAATTGTTATATAGTTAATGTGTTTTGCAATTTTTTATTCTCATGTGTTTTACCCCTATACATCTATGAGTATTGGCCATGTTTTATGAACAGGCCACTTATAGGATGAACTCTGATTCATCATGGGGTTTTCTATTGTACCACCTGTATTATAAGCATGGCTATCAGTACATTTAGGATACAGAACAGTATTTTGGTAGTTTAAGTAGACTGGTGAATTGATATACAGCTATTATACAACATAGCTTTAAAGTTTAAGTTTAAATGGACATACACCACTACATTATCCCATAATAACAGAAACATTCACACTATCACACAACTTAAAAAATTCTCCAATGGGATCACAGGAACATGCAAAATTTATAATTGGAACTTAAAAAGGTTCTCCAATGGAATCTTTGTTAAAGTGCACTGCCTTTTCAAGAAACTCATTTTCAAGCATTGCATTGAATGTTTAGGGCTATTTTGTATTGAGTTGTAGACAGGCTAAATGATTTAAGTCAAGTCAAGTCAAGTCACCTTTATTTATATAGTGCTTTTAACAATACAGATTGTGTCAAAGCAACTGTACAGCATTAATTAGGAAAATAGTGTGTCAATAATGCAAAGTGACAATAGTAAACACTAATTTTTCAGTTAAAGGCAGTTCATCATAGAATTCAGTGATGTCATCATCCAACTCAGTTCAGTTTAAATAGTATCTGTGCAATCAAGTCAACGATATCGCTGGAAATGAAGTGTCCCCAACTAAGCAAGCCAGAGGCGACAGCGGCAAGGAACCAAAACTGCATCGGTGACAGAATGGAGAAAAAACCTTGTGAGAAACCAGGCTCAGTCGGGGGGCCAGTTCTCCTCTGGCCAGACGAAACCAGCAGTTCAACTCCAGGCTGCAGCAATGTCACATTGTGCAGAGGACTCAACTGGCTCCTGTGGTCTTGTCCCGGTGGCCGTC